AAAGCTTGTCAAAAATTATTTAAGAAATACTATGGGCGAAAAACGGTTATTAACTTTAGCAATTATTTCAATAGAAAATGAAGTTGCCCGTACAATAGACACATTGGTAATATTGTGTCAACTTTCGCCCATGCTTAAAGCAGAGAAAAAAAGAATTTTAACATGTTCATGTTCCTATTTACATTGTTTATTTTAATTTAGTGAGTTTTGTTGTTGTTTTTTGTTTTGTTTTTATTTATTTGATATTTTATATGTTTTGGACTACACATTCTGTGTTGCAGTAATAAATAATACTATATAAAAATTAATTTGATAATGTTCAAAACCTCAAATTGGTCGAAGGAATTTATCCTTATTATTTACTCTGATAAATGTTTTAAATTTCAATCCTTCATATTTTCTCAATGACTCGATCGATTTTCAAAAACGAGGCGGGGAAATATAGAGAATAGAAAGCTCTTTTCATTGCGGCGCCACTTGACCCCCCTTCCCATTTGAAAAAAGTTGGGGGATGACAACCCCACTTAGAGGCTTGAAGATTTTGCAATCATTTTTGGGGCAAAAGTTGTCCCCCTCACAAACAAAACTGGCGTGTTTTTGAATTTTCTGAAAAAAAAAATTACCCTGGCCGTTATGCCTTGCGGAACATTTTCGATTGGCCACCCTGTATTATTCAGATTAGTATATAAGTATTGAAATATGTAGGTGTAATAGGGGGCCCGGTAAAACTTTTGCACACAGGCCCGTGAGTCTGTTGTTACGCCACTGTTCAGTTATAATTACAAACAGATTTTTTTAAACTAGACAAAATTGGCTTGCCCAGAATGTTTGAAATTTCGTATGTGTATTCAGCAGACCTTTAAAAACCTATTTACGACTTCGTTGTAAAATCAATAGGGAAGCCAATATTTGGGTAGTTCAAAATTTGCATGGGATTTCCTATGTTTTCAACGTCGATGCACGTATATAAACCTGAAATTAATTACTATAATAGCATATACAGTATGTCCCTGAATCGTCATTGCAAGAGGAAAAACTTTTTATTATTAACTTTTCGAGAAAAAATTAATTCTTCATAAAAGTTTTTGTTTCTTCTAAAATTATTAATCCCTTTTATACTTTTTCAAATTCCCATACAGTTTTAGAGAAAAATATGAAAATATAGTTGATTTTTTCAGTTTTAAAGTGTTAAAGAAGCCTAAAATTTATAATCACTTTTTTTTGAACTATATTTTATATTTTTCTCTAAAGCAGTATAGAATTTGGAAGAAGTATAAACGGGACTAACCACTTTAGAACAAGGACCATTTTATTAAAAACTTTTAGTTAATAATAAAAATGTGTTTCCTCTTATAAAGACGGTCCAGGGACATGCTGTATATTATTAGTTAAATAACAAATGACTGTTGGTTTTTTTTAATTAATTTTTGGTAAATCACATGCTGATTATATAACAATAGTTAAATTAATATTTACAAAGCTATTTGTTATGAAAAAATAAATAAGAAAACTATCCAAAACGAACAACGTAAATTCATTCGCGGAACTGAACGTCTGCTTTTTTTTGTTGTAGTTAGAACGCGGATTATTAAATAATAAAATAATCAAGTGGAAACCACGTTATTAAACATTAAAGTAACTTTAATGTTGCAAAAATATGTTGGTTAGAGCCAACAGTTAATTTTGTTAATAACTTTCAATAATATCAGGGCCGCCGCTACCATGTGTGCAAAGTGTGCGGTGCACACGGGCGGCCAGGTATAGGGGCGGCCAAAACAGGCACCACTGATTTTTTTTCTTAAATACAAACAAAAAAAATAAATAACGATCCTATTTTCCCTAATAATATTCTTATTAAATATTTTATGACCACATAATCATCTTTGATCCCAAGCAGAGAAAAAGACTCGGACAAGTCGAACAAGTCGGACAAAAAATTTAGGATCTTCAACTTCAAAAGAAGTTCTTTGTGAAGGAGATGAAGAAAATTCTATTTCAGAACAAACTACTTCGGTTGCAGCTAGTGACATAAATAATGAAAGGTCAAATGACAGTGATAGCAATAATAGTGCCAGTGCTGAGGCTGAAACCATAATCAACACAGTTAATCTTTATCAGCGGTTACGGCTTGCTGTGTAGAAAGTTCCAGCCTATACTTGGTTTCGAACGATCCCGAAACATGGCCTGCAAAATTTAATCCAAATGAAGTTCAATTTATTATTGAAAATTGTCCAAGGCGAATTAAAAACTTTAACTTTTCCAGAGATAAAAATATAAGGAAATGTTCATTGAAAAATGATACCAAAAGGGATATGACCAGAACGTTAGCAAAATCACTAAAAAATCAAATTTTTGAGTTTAAATTTATATGCTCTATTATAATATGGCACGATATTTTAAGTAAAATTAATGTTAGCAAAATAAAACACTAAATCACCATAATACACCAAACCACTTTTACTTTTACACTGGACGCGCGTTTCGTTAACCAGCATCATCAGCAGATGATCAGGATTGAAGTTGAAGATGGAGCCTTGATCACCTGCTGATGAAGCTAACATGGTTAGCGAAACGCGCGTCCAGTGTAAAAGTAAAAGTGTTTTGGTGTATTGTGGTGATTTAGTATTTTATTATGCTGTGTAACACCAAAAGTTCCAACTCCCAACTGTAAAATTAATGTTTGAGCAAAATTCTTCAGTCATCAAAACTTGACACAAAATCTTCATTAGATGTACTCAATAATTTAAAAATTATTTCATAACCACACGTTCTGATGGACATTTTCAATTTTTTTAAACGAATCGAAGGCGATAGCTACAAATTAATGACATTCAAGTAGCATTCCCCAGCTTACCTACCCGAAGAAGAAAAGGCATTTTGAGTATGAAGAAACTGATGAACCCCTATTGTCATCTGAGTTGTCATTTAAAATAAATTTATACTTTAAAATTGTGGATACTGCCATAATGGCAATTGAAAAACGGTTCCAATTACTACAATAACACTATTTTTTACAACAGTACACTACAATACTACAATAACACCTATTTTCAATGTAATATATAGGATAACTATAATTAAAAACGATGACGAAACTAAAATTAATTGTAAGAAAATCCATCAGGCCTTTAGAGACACAAACAGCTCGGAGAGTGATATCAGCGAAACCGATTTATTCGAGGAAATTAAAGCTATTCGACTCTATTTTAACAGAGAAAAATATCCTAGTGATATACTACTAGTACATGTACGAAAATAATCTACATTCAATATTTCCAAATTTAACCCTAATTATTATACCTAACCTCCTAACCCTAATATTCCTAACACTGCCGGTTGCTGTAGGAACTGTAGGTACCTCAAGACTTAATATTATTAGACTTTGTATCTTCGATGACGCAAGGAAGACTTTCTGCTTTAGCTTTGTATTGTTATCTATCGAACAAGAGGTATGCACGACATTGGGTATTAAAGATATCGTCAAATTTTCGGAAACGAAAGCCCGAAAAGTTCGATTTCAATAATTTTTTATGTTGTTTAGTTATAAGTGTTTTATTTTACTGGACATTTATTTTTTTAATTTGGAGACTAGACTTGACTCTGCGGGATTAAAACTTTAATTATTTGAGTAAGTACTTATTTACGGGTATTAATTATACCATACATGTCTCGGCTAATATAGACATAATATTATATATAGGTATGTCAAAAATCTATGCAATTTTTATATATTTTGTTTAATATAAGGGGGCGGCAAATATTGAGTTGCACACGGGCGGGTAACACCTTAGCGGCGGCCCTGAATAATATATAATTTCATTAATTTTTATTTATTTAATTAATAAACAGGGTGTCCCAGAAATAAGTGCAAGTATTTTAAGAAGTGGTAGGTCTCGATAAAAGATACATATTTTTTGCACAAACTTTGAGAACCATTAGATCTTTTCTGGATTTTCTTTCTTGTATAATTTAATCTACTACCTATGTTGCCATATTATCAAGAAATTATATTTTTTTAACTAAAAACTAAAAAAATTTCCAAAAAATTTTTCAAAAATCTTTGAATTATTTTTCGTGAAAAAAACCTCATAGGCGTGTTTCTGGGGTTGAACTATACTACCAGTTAAAATACTTGCACTTATTTCTGGTAATACACCTTGTATAATTCCGCCTCCTTGATGAGATAAACGCAATTTTATTAATCACAATTAATAAAATTAAAATTAAATTAATACATTATATATTTTACCTAATTTATTATTCAATTTAATATTATTACTATTAGGTATTATTACTATTAGTCCAATCTACAGCAATTTCAAATAAAAAAATAATGGTATTTAAGATAATTACAAAAAACCTAATTTTAAAAAGTTACTATGCATTTCTATACCCATGATTATAGGAACTTTTTTTCATATTTTTTTTGAAGAATCAATGTGTACTTATTTAAAACTTTCACAAGTTAATCATATTAAAATTTTTGAAAGGTTGCTATTAAGACTTGGATCAAGGCAAATTAATAAAATTGCGTTTATCTCATCAAGGAGGCCGAAATCGACAAATTATAAAGAGACAACTTTTAATCAGCATTAAACTGCTTACACTATTACAAGAGAAAAAAAGTCAGTGACGCACATGTTTTTTTTTTACAAAAATATTCCAGTTATAACCCATATACACGTCCCTGGTGAATATTTCGACAGTTTTTTAGTTTTAAAATATGTCACATTTATAGTAACTTTTACCCTTAAAATTTCATTCGAAATGCCAACAGTACTTGGAAGAAAAGTATAATAAATCGAAAAAATATTAAGATTTTAACACCCTGTAGCTACGAAACAAAGCAGAATTGCATCTATGCTGATATGAAAAATAAATGTTATTTTTTCGTGATGAATCTTCCCACGAGAGATGGCACATGTTTTTTGAAACACACTGTATATATTTTTTTCTATAATATTAATTATCTCCATTATAACTTATTTAATAAAACTTACCCAAAAATGTATCTCAAACATTCAACCTATTACACACAATAAGCCACAAACCATTCACATTTTCGCAAACTACCGAAATCCAGTTATCCACCAACATATTCACTTCTTTTTCAAGAACAAGAAAAAGAGGTTGCGCGACTTCAGGCCAAAAATAAACCACACACAAGTTCAATTAATAAGCCAATAATTTGAAGTAAAACGAAAAGCAGCAACCGCTATAACGAAATACTACAAGGAGCGTCGCAGATCGTATGCATATTAGCAAAAGGCTAAGTCAAGGAGTAGGTAGATACTTAATTTATTCATACTGTGATATTAGATGCCTCAGGCTTAAGAAGAAAGAGACACTTTGAATATGTAGAAATATGTTTTAGATGATTTGATGAGCTGGCTGATGAGAATGAGGAAGCTATAATAAAATACTAGTGTTATTTTTATATCGATTGGATGTAAACAGATTTTAAATTGAATGGCCCAATAGATACCTACAAAGACCTTCGTGGAATTTTATTTCATTATATAAAACAAGTTTAAACCAGATATTGTATAGAGTGTGTCCGACATTCAGCATTGTTGTTTCTGCTTTGCATCAATTTACAGGATGTCCCGTTTTCGTATGTTTTGCGGTCATTTTTTGGCGAAATGTTTTTTCGAAAATTTGGATTTTTTTTAATTTTAAGTTCAAAATCGTATTTTTTGATAATATGTCAACATAGTTAGTAGATTAAATTTACAAGAAAGCAACTCCAGAAAAAATCCAGTGGTTCTCAAAATTGAGGCAAAAAATCTTTTTTTTAATTTTCAAACTAAAATAACTCGGTTATTTTGGACTTATCTGAAAAACAGTAATGGGAAAATATGTTTCTCTTATCGATATCTACCAGCCCTGAAAATATTTGCCCTTATTTAAGACTCACCTTGTATAACTTTTGGCTCACTCCTATAACTTTTTATTTTTTCAGATAAAAAACGAGATTTGGTATTTTAGTATATTATGACATAAATTTGGAATGATTGACATATTCAACTGTTTCCGGTCACTTCCTGTTTCACCGGAAATAACCACAACTTGACTTTTAAATGGTACCCTGGGTATTTCTTAATTTATTTTATAGAAAATGGACACTCTGAATAGAATGACATATCATATGTCAACTTTTGACATTTTCGCATATGGTTTATTTGAAATTGTAACATGGTTTGATAACTACAATTTGACTCGAAATACCAAGTGTGGGGTACCAAATTATTGGCAAAAAAATGCTTTTTCTAACCTAACCTTCGTTCCTTTTGAAAAAATTGAGATATGATTAAAAATACGATTTGCACATCTTTTAACTGGTCAGGATAAAACACGAAGAACATATTAGACGATCATATCTATTTTCCCAAGGTTCCTTGATTAAAAATTAGTTGATAATATAGTTAATTCACTCTAGATACAATTTTTTTAAGAAAAAATATCAAAAGTTGACCCATGATATATCATTCTATTCAAAATGTCGTTTTCTATCGTCGAATAAAATAAAAACATACCGAGGGTGCCATTTAAAAATTAAAAATTGTAGTCATTTCCGGCGAAACAGGAAAAAATAAACCAAAACCAAAAAAAAAGTGACCAAAAACAATTGAACACGTCAATAAATCCTAATTTATTTCATATACTCACATACCAAATCTCGTTTTTTTATCTAAAAAATGAAAAACTACTTTTGAGACGCACCCAGTATATATTGTTTTAATTTAAGGAGCACTGTTATGACCTTTTTAAAAATATAATATAAATAAAGCAGTAAAAAATTTAAGGAAATATTAAAAAAATCATATCTGCCCTAGAAATCATATCCACAAAAATGTTTAGTAGAAGCGAAACAAAACAAATAAATCTAGTACAAGAACTACTGTAATATTATATATTAAAGCCTCTTAACAGAAATGTTAAACATACAACAAAACGGTCATATTTTTGTCATATGATATCCACTTATTAACCACCTTACTTCTTTTGCCAGAACATGAAAACACGGTTACGCCATTTTACGTAAAAATAAACCATGTTTTCAATTGATGTGAGAAATTAGAAATTGAATTACGAAAAGCAGTAAAATCGTTGATATGCGAAACATAAAAAAACAACGCTAGAGAGATCATATGCAAATTACAGAAAGGTTAAGGACTGGTTTAATATAATTCATGGTTGTGATGTTATATTTAGGCTCAGGCCTGAAGAGAAAGACATATGTATCTCGAATTGTAGAAAGTTGTTTTTGTTTTGTGCAAATTTGTCGACGTAACAAATTTGCCCTAAAACAACACACAAATGTGTTGCAACGCAACTAGTTGAAAGTGTGCAAATCTGTATCAAAACTGGTAACAATGATTAGAAATTGAAATGATATTGAGAGTGGAACACCTACCTAGATTAGTGTTATTTAGTAGATGGTTGAATGTGTTAAGAGTCCATTTCATTAGTCCGAAAAAGTAGCAAAATAAGCGTTTTTTGTGTTTATTTAATTTTCTCATGACTGATTACTTAATAATTTGATGTTATTTTCATTAAAAATTTCATTTTTTTATCCATTTTACTTTGAAATATCATCCCGTGCTTTCAGATTGATGACTTACATATATACATACTGCCATTACTCGCTGACGAGTATTCGACACGCATCAAAAGATGGTCACGCAAGGCGTTTTCTTTTATGAGCTTTTCTGTGACTGAAAAGCCCGATACGTGATGTTATTTTCCTACCGCACTCCGGACATTTAAAAATCTCATTGCTTTGTTGCCTCTTTACTTTTTGGTTGTCGCTGTTAACTGAGTTTACAATTCTTCTCCATTGAGTTCTATTGTGAACTGCTTCTTCCCAATGTTCTGCATGTTAATCCCCTCTTAGTTTTCGTGGAAAATGTCCTTGTACCTTTTGAAATGTCCACCCGGCCTCCTCTTACCGTCTACAAGCTCACCGTAAAGCAGAGATTTTGGTATGCGGTTTTCTTGCATTCTGCATACGTGACCAGCCCATCTTAAGCGGGATTTGGTAACCATGACTTCAATACTCTCGCAGTTAGCTTTTTTAAGGACCGATACGTTTGAGACATGATGGAACAACCGGATTTTTAAGAGTTGTCTAAGGTGTCTCTGTTGCAACTTGTTTAATGCCTTCATGTGTCGGCGGTACGGCACCTAGGTTTCACTCCCATATAACACGGTGGGGATTATAATTGCTCGGTACACTGCCAGTTTCGTTTTTGTACTCAAGTCATGATTGTAGAAAACCCTGTCTTTTAATTTCCAGAATGCTCTTGAGGCGCTGCTAATCCTGTGCTAAATTTCAGAGTTGATATGAGTAATTAAATTCCGCTACCTATTCCAATAGTTCCTCTCCGATTTTTACAGCATTGTTATAATCTTCCGGGGGGAGTGCACATGATTTTGGTTTTGTCGATGTTTAGCTTAAGGCCCAAAGCCTCGTATGCCCTCGTATGCCCAGGTGTTCAACATTTCTTGTAATTGTTGTAACGTATTTGCAACTAGAGCGTAGTCATCAGCGTATTGAAGTTCTGTGATGAATTTTGTACGTGTTTTTGCCCTCAGTCTTTTTATGTTGAACAGACCGCCGTCATGTCTGTATCTAATGCCCAATCCTCTCTCCTGCAGTTTGCTGTCCACTATAATTGACTCTGATTGATAAACTGCACCACCATTGACCAAAAAATAGTCAGTACCGAAAGTACCGAAAAAACCGGGAAATCGCGGATCCTTAGAAGCGCGGTACTGAAATTCCCGGTTCCAAAAAACAGCTCCGCTTCCAGAAACCCTATTGTTCACTAATACAATTTCTTCACCCACAGCATTTTTATAGATCTGTTGTGGTCCTCCTCTTCTATTAGGTTACATTCTCTAGTCCTATCCATTTAAAAAAAAAGCCGCGCATTTTGTCGTACTCGCATAAAATGCGTTCTGTTGTTTCTTGTTCTGATTAGCGAAATTTGCATATAGCTTTGTCCTTCAATCCTATCATCTTTAGATGCCTATTGAGCTTGCAATGTGGCCCTGTGGGTTGACCCACTACAGTATTGACAGACTTTGTCTCATTGCTTACCTACATAAAATACATGTTAACCCGTCCTATTTTTGAAAAATTCTTCTGTTTTGACTTTATTTTTATTTCAGCAACTACAATAATTAACCTGCCATAAATATATAGACCACACCTACTTTTTCAAAATTTATAAATGACTGTTTATTAGGATAACTCATAATTTTACAACATTCAAGGAAAAACTACGTAAATTTCCTAAACATTTCTTACGAATCCGTTTAAAATTATTAAAATCCACAGAAACATATTTTCCTCCAGATCTTTAAGATTTATTTTTCTCTTAATGTGTTTAATAATTTATGTTTTCCATGTCTAAATACAGTTGCCATTATAAATAAGCCATTAGCATTTCCGAAAAGCATAACGTTTTATTAAAATGGTATGTTTAGTAATCATCCGAATAACAGGATTGGAGGCCGGCACTTAAAACAAGTTTTTGAAAATATTATTGCTAGACAGTTATTGTTTGCGTTCTTCAACTAGGAAATACATTAAGCCTGCTCCACAGTACGCTTATTTCTTTGTGTTTATCTCTTTTAAACTCTATGATGGTTTGACTGATCTAAAGTGTCCTAGAAACACACTTTAGACTTTTAAAATAATAGGTCATTGCTGACTTTACAATCTCCCTCCACCCGCTGCGGTCCATCATTCGTTCTTCTGCTCGCTCAATCGCTATTGGAATATGTAGCGGAATTCAATTACCTTGGCAGTTTTATTTCGGAAAAGGCCAATATCGACTCTGAAATTCAGCACAGAATTAGCAGCGCCTCAAGAGCATTCTGGAAATTAAAAGACAGGGTTTTCTACAATCATGACTTGAGCACAAAAACGAAACTTGCAGTGTACCGAGTAATAATAATCATCACCATGTTATATGGAAGCGAAACCTGGGTGCCGTACCGCCGACACATGAACGCATTAAACAAGTTGCAACAGAGACACGTTAGACAACTCTGAAGAATCAAATGGTTCCATCATGTCTCAAATGTATTGGTCCTTGAAAAAGCTAAGTGCGAGTAATGAAGTCATTGTTACAAAATCCCGCTTAAGATGGGCTGGTCACATGCAGAATGCAAGAAAACCGCATACCAAAAGCTCTGCTTTACGGTGAGCTTGTAGACGGTAAGGGAAGGCCAAGTGGACAACTCAAAAGGTACAAGAATATTTTCCACGAAAACTTAAAGGGGATTAACATGCAAAATGAATGGGAAGAAGCAGTTCACAATAGAACGAAAAAGAATTGTAAACTCAGTTAACAGCGACA